GATGTCGACCAGCTCTTCGGAGCCTACGGTGCCAGCCCGGGCCCCAGTCCCGGCCCCAGTCCAGCGCGGCCGCCCGCAAAGCCGCCCGAGGAGGAGCCGGACGCCGACGGCTACGAGTCGGACGACTGCAGTAAGTTTGCAGCTCACCGACTTCGCGCCCCCTCCCCTGGCTCGGCTCCTCGCAGGCTCCGTGACCTCACTGGCTACTCGTTCCCCCTGCGGTCCCTCGTCGTCCCTCTACACACACCCCACGCCGGATCGCGGCCCCCTTGCCGGTTCCATGCGCTCTCCGCGCGTCCTGCGGTCCCAATCTCGATACCTCCCCCGGCCCGGACTGGAGAGGTGGGAAGTTTAGGGGCGCCCCCTGGGGGTGTGCCATTTCTGGGGTCCAGCTCCCCGGAGCCCACGCCGCGCCCCCTCTCGGCCCGCCGCTGGGAGCTCCGGCGCGGGAGGCGGCTTTTGTTCCTGGGAAGGGCGGAGCTGCGCCCCGGGGAGACACCAGTTGCTGCCGGCCGCGCGGTCGCTCCCTGCCCGGGAATCCGCTCCTGGCCGGCCCCGCGGCGGAGGGTAGGACTGGGGCGGCAGCGGGGAGAGGACCCAAGGCTGGGGCCCGACTGGCCTCCCAGGTGGGCCCGGCGGCCCTCCGAGCGCTGCGGCTTTGCTGGTGCGCGGGCCGCTCGTCCTTTGGAAAAACCTTGGCGGTTCCTCCTCCCGGGTCTGTGGACCCCGCCGCTGCTCTCGCCCAGGCCGCCGACCTGCGCCCACCTGTTACGTCCGCTTTCTCGGTCAGGAATGGCCCCCAGCCCGCGCTTCCTTCTCCTAGGGCTGAGCCCCGAGCCCCGGGGAGTAGGCGAACGCCGGAGCCCCCCCGGGCCTCGGCCCGCGCGGCGGGCGCTTCTGGCGCTCCTTTCTCGTCTCTGCCCCGCCCGATCCGGGACTGGGTGGGAAACGAAGGCTGAACAGGTCGTTACTCAGTGCGGAATGGGTTTGTGCGGGATGGGGGTGGGGAGATGGGAGCACTGCTTTCAAGGCCCCCAGCCCAGCTGTAGCCCCAGCAGCGTCATTCTCAGGCCTGGAAAACCAGAGTCAAACGTCAGCCCTGCCCAGGATGTGGACCTTTTGGAGCAGGGGTCACTGGCGGGTGTCGCCAAAGCCAACCCAGCCCCATCCCCCCACGCAGCGCAGCGAAGGTGGCTGCATGGGGTTTGGGTGCCCACAAGGGCCGCAGGCCAGGGGTCTGGAGTTTCCCCCAGCATAAGATGTGCCTCTGGAAGCCTAGGGTGGAGGTTATCAGCACTACTGGGGTGGGGGAAGGGGGCGTCAGACTTCTCATAGCCTACCTAGGGAGACCTAGGAGGAGTGAGCCAGAGGAGGCCTATCAGCCAAGGTGGGTCAGAGCCCTGTCTTTGTGGGGAAACTGCCAGCTATGCACTTTCTGTGAGCCTGGACCACAGCCCTGTGGCCAGAGGCTGGCATATTGAGGCCCTGCCCCCTGGGCTTGGGGGTAGGGAACAGTCCTCTCCCTCCACTTTCCTGCCAGCTTGAGGAAATCCGGTCGGGAGAGTTTATTGGCCTCAGGCGTGTGCCCTGGATCTTCCTCACCTTCAGTTCCTGGTACCCCGGGAAAAGGGCACCCCCTCACTTGCTGTGCCTCTGGGCAGGTCCTAACTGGGACCTGTCACCCTTTTGAATGCCTTGAATTCAAAGCCACCTCCAGAAGAAGGGGTGGGGAACTCGTTCCCATTTCCAGCATCTTTTCTGCTATGCCAAGGGAGTGAGGGGCAGGGCAGGGTTTCCGCCAGAGCTTCAGGCAACACTCTAAGTGCCACCAAGGACCCTCTGGATGACATACAGCAAAGAGATGAGAAATTTGATTGTTTCTTTTGGCTGTCCCTGAACTCACAGGCAAGGAAGGGTCCAGAAAATCCAAAACTCAAGCCAGCTGCCACATTTCCAGTCTATCAACTCAGAAGTCCTTTACAGAGCGCTGTCCTAGCAGCAGAGAGGGAACAGAGCTGGGGCCCTGGACTCAGGGAGCTCACATGTCCTAGGAGGGGACAGACTCACTTAGGGTCAGCAGTACAAGACAGTCCTAGACACAGCCTTGCCAGCCTGAACTGTGGGCTGGCCACACCCCTATCACCAGGGCACTCTGCTGCAAAGAACTAAGAAGAAAGGAGTGTGGCTGAGTCAGGGCCCCTCACCTCCTTCAGGAGGCAGCCTGCCCTGGACTTGGATCCATCGGTGGCTGAGCAAATATCCCAGGCATGAGAACACAGAAATCTTGGGTCCTGCCCATAGGGGGACCAGGTTCTGGGGCAGAACTTCTTTTCACCCAGTACCCCAGGCCATACCACCCTCTCAGCTCTGACAACCAGATCCCTAGAATAAGCCTAAATGATTCAAGCCAGATGGTTCATTATGGCTTTAGCAAGGGTTATGCTATTTGCTGCCCTAATTAATGGATTATCTCTCTGCTAACAAAAAGAAATTAGGGCGGTTGCTCTGTTGTCCAAGGCTGTGAGTGAAGTGCTGTTTATTTATTCAACCTTTTCTTCCTTCTCTTTAAAGCTCATCCTTATTAAGTTACCTCAAGGCACAAGCACAAAATTGACATGTTCTAAACTGATCTAATAGAGGAGTGATGCTGGGAAGAAAACGCAGTCAACGTCCGAGTTAGAAGTGACCCCCGCCATATTTCCTCCCCTCCCAGTGGTCCACAGTGCAGCTTGGCTAAGCTGGACTCCATGGCTTGCTTCCCTCTAGGCAGGCCCGGTGGCCCACCCTCTGCCTGTGCCACTCCCCTGCCCACCCACTCTCCACCTGAGGAAACCCATTCTTCAAAGCAGTAATGGCTAGAATGCCTTGGGCTGCAAATAACAGAAAACTCAAAGTGCCTTAAACACTGGGACTGTTGAGGTAGGTGTCACAGGGGTAGATTTATGCAACGTATCAGCAACATCAGTGATGATGGTTGTCTTTCCACTTGGCCATGCTCTTATCCTCAGTGATGAGGCAAAAATGGTCATTATCACAGAGGACCTTGAATGCCACACCAGAGAGATTGAACTGAGTCTAGGAGGCAATGGAGAACCTTTGAACAATTTAAAGCAGGGGGATGAATAAATGTGTAAAAAGGCTGACCTCTCTCACAGTCCAAGGTGGCTGCTGCAGGTCCAGGCATCACATGTAACAATAAGATTCTAACAAGGATAAGGATCAGTTTCCTTTCCCATGTCTCAGTTTAAGAGCAAGGAAACCTCTCCCCGAGTCTCCAGGGGACCTGTCCTTCTGCCTCATTGGCCAGAATTGCATCACATGCCCATGCTTACACCTGCCCTGTAGGATTCAGCCTGAGCTGGGGCAGGACAGATGCCATGGAGACCTGGAGCAAGGATGGAGTGGAGAAATCACTGTTAGGCTTGCCCCAAAGTCCCTCAGCTGGGGCCATTTCCCTGGCCCCACTGGCAGTGATTCACCTTCCTTTGAGCCCAGCGATGTTTTGCCCACACCATATTTTTATGCACTCAACTTTACAAGACCAACTCTGCATTAGGCACTATTCTGGGCACAGAGATTCAAGAATGCCCGAGACACAATCTCTGACAACAAGGAGTTCACAGAAATCAAAATGTACAAAGAGCCCAACAGTGAAGACAGGGAGGCAGGAACCCAGTGGAAGCACTGGTTTGCACAGAGTTTACCCACAGAGAGGGGGAGGGAGGAAGCAGACTGGTACAATGGAAGTAGGAAGGGAGGTGCTCCTGGCAGAGGGTCTACTGTGTGCACAGGTAGAGAGGTGTAGGAAACACAGCTCAGCAAAGGCACAATAAGGTCAAGTGGCTGAAGCAAGGGAAAAGACCAATGATGAGGCCAAAGTGGTCATATCACAGGGGGTCTTGAATGCCACACCAAGAAGGTTGAACTGAGTCCAGAAGGCAGCAGAGAACCTTTGGACAATTTAAAGCAGGGGGATGAATAGATTTATAAAAATCCGAACCCTCTGCCTCTGAGCTCCTGGGAAGCAGGGATATATGGCTCATTCCTCTTGGTACCCCCTGCAGTGCCCAGCTCAGTGCCTCAGTTTCCCTAACTACAAAATGCTTTCAACTCAGGCTTGATCATTTTCTGTGGTTCCTGCCATAGTTATTAAAAACTATTCGAGAGGCTGACATTTTTCTTCAAAAAACAAACAAACAAACAAACAAAAACCTAGGGCTGATTTCCAATTCCCAAGGGTGTACGGGTGAGGAAAGTCCAAGTGCAAACCAAGGTCAAAATGATGCCGTCAGTCTCCATTAGCAGAGCAGAGGGATGTTCAGCCTTAGAGGAACCGACAGGGGCTTGAGCTTGATTTTCTCTGAATTAGCCCCATTAAAGCTCTATAATTATCAACAAGCAGTGACAACTCTCAGAGGCCCATTAGTGACCAACCCTCATTATTTTTCCAAGGATATAAATTTTAGGCAGGACATGTGATTTGAGTGGCTCAAGGGCAGGACCCTGCAGCTTACACAGACAAGCACTTTCACCGACCTAAAGGCCCTCCTCACCCGCACCTCGATCCCAGGGTGCGTTTCCAACTCAGAGGCCCTTCTAGGGCACAGCTGAGCCCTTCCTAGTCCCCAAGAGCAACTCTACTTTTCTCTTTTTTCTCCATGGCATCCTCCTGAGATTTCAGCTAAACTAAATAGCAGACAGAAAACATTGGAAGCCACTAGGCTTTAAGGCGGGAACTATCAGGATAGAAATGAAGAGGTCTAGATTCTGTGACCAGCTCTGCTATGCCACCCTGATCAGGTCACTTCCCCTCTCAGAGCTTCATTTCTCTGAATGGGAAATGAAGACTTTGGACTATAAGCTCCCTTAGAGAGCTCCACCACTGGGAGGTCTCTAAAAATGGTAACTGGGCTTCTATTTATAAACTATTGCTTCTTAAAAAACTCTTATTGGAGTTCAAAGAATTCATGAGTCTCATCCTGGGGCAGCACTAGGCGTGCTATTTCTTCCTGGGAAATGATAAAAGGTGTCGGTTCCGCTGAGCAGCATGGGGCTCTCCTTAAACAGGGACGCCTGTAGAGCCAGTGGAAGGGGCTCCTCTCTCCTCCTGGAGCTCTTTCCCAGTGGAGAGCAGGTGGCCCCTCCATCTCACTAGCTTGTCTTTCTCTGGGACTGGGAAACAGGCAGAGATCGTGGAGTGTGCATTTTGACATGTGTGCATTACACCAAAGAGCAGCTGGAGAAGGAGTTGGTTTGAACGGACCAGCCAAGTGGACTGAACATCTGCTCTTTGCTGGTGTCCCAGGCGTGGCAGCGGCTTGGTCTCTGCCCTTGGTAGGCTAATGTCTGGGAGGAAAAAGGCCTGAACTGAGCAGCAGACTGATTGACTGTCGTATAAAGAAAGTGAAAAGCTTTGGAGAATATTATTACAAAAGCATGGACCTGAAGAATGTCAGGCCCACTGCTGCGTTAGTTGTTAGAGACATGGTAATGTATACCTCACTTACAGCACCCTCACCTGCCCACCTGCATAGATGGGAGCTAGGATGCAGGCAGCAAAAGGCCAGATATAGTTAGCATAAAGGCACACAGTCTACTCAGGAAAAAGTTTTTTGCCCTCCACTCAAGGCCTATTGACTCTTAGTTTGGGCACAATTCTAAAACGTGGTTTCATAGAAGAAACAAGTAACTATTGAATAGGAGGGAGAGTTATTTGGGCTACCAGATGCAAATGCTCTAACAGGAGTTTGAAACCGATGGCAACACAGGAGGCAGAAAAATGAGAAAAACCTCAAAGAGAGTGGCCACCTGGGGTCACTCGGTAGAGGAATCATCTCACACCCCTTTCCGTGTCTGGGCAAAGAACAGTAATCATCATAGCAACAGCTCAGGTTATGCAGAAAAGTGTAAGTGACCAGTTGTATATTCCACTCACAAAGCCTGGGCGGGGGGTGATCCAGTTTGAAACAAGTTCATTCCAGAAGGCGTCTCAGAGGGGCAAGTACAGTTATCTAGAAAAGTCACCTAAACGGATCTGCTCCTTCTATAATTATCTACTGAGTACTTTCCATAGCCCATGTGCTGTGTTAAAGCATAATGCTGTGAGGTGGACACTATTGCATCTCCATCTTGCAGATGAGGAAACTGAAGAGAAGCTGCCTAAGGTCATGCAGCAAGGAAATGCAGATCCAGGATTTGAACCAGGGGTCAGATGTCAGAGGGCAGGTTTCGCTCCTCGCATGTGCCACCAGTCAAGGACAGAGATGCTGAGCTGTGTGTCTTACCCTATGTTAGATACTAGGGAGCAAAACTTGCATGACTCACCACTAGCGCCTCAAAATAAAGGGCAGCCCCACATGCACGGTCCTTAATTTGCCCATTTCTCTTCAAACCCAAAACTTTGCTAGGCCTGGGCCCCTGTGTGAGCCCAAGGATCTGTGGGTCATGTGGTCCCCGTGGCATCTACTGAGCTCTACCATTATTATAGTGCAAAAGCATCTGTGATTCAGATGTCAATGGATGGGTGTGGCCGGACTTGGCCAGGGGGCCGTGGTTTGATCTAGACCTATGTTGGGTGCCCCTGGCCTAAGGAAAAGAGCCCTGCCCTCCCCCAGCATCACTGCAGCCACTCAGTCTCCCACCCTCTGGTTGGCTTGTGGTTGGAATGCCCCTTCCCCAGCCCTGCTGGACACTGGCCAACACCTACTCATCCTTTGTAGCTAAAGGCTTCCTCCTCCAGGAAGCCTTCTCTGATGGCCCCAGTTCACATCAAGGCCAGTTATTCCCCATTGCTCCTGGCCCACTAAACTGTTGTGGCAAATTCTTTTCATCTGTTCTTCCCATTAAGCTGTGCTTTCCTTGGGGCAAGAACCCTGCCTCATTATCTTCATCCCTAGAGTCTGGCATATTGTAAATGTTTGGTAAGGAATCAATGACTGAGATGCCAGTTAACCAGCCCAGCAGCCTGCAAGCAGGATCTGGGCTTCTAAAGACATCCTGTGAATGTGCGCCTTGCTGTCCAGAGACTTGTCCCTGAGGTCTGCCTGCACCATAACTCCCGCCTTCATGCCAGGAGCCACGTCAACATGATAGGACACAGCTGCCATGTGTGATTGCCCCCGAAAGTGGCAGCTGCACCCAATTATTGCTGCACTCTCTGCCCAGCCCTTGGGAATCGCCTGCTGCCTTTAAGAGGCTTGGGGTAGCACCATGAGGACCCAGCTGGCTCCTTGAAGCCTCCCAGGCCCCCAAGGGACCAGAGAGACCAGGTAGCTGCACCCTGAGTATTGCTGGGAAGTGGGAGAGTGGATCAGCTAATCAGCCCAACCAGGACCTGCAGCCTTGCAAAGCCTTGTCTCCGCTGCCTTCTCATACAATCTTTGTGACATTTAACGGTTGAGGGAAACTAAGGCTGGAGCCCAGACTGGCAGTCGCACAAAGAGGGTAGAACAGGAACTCTTTTAGCTGAATGCCCAGTACACATGAGCACCACACTGGACCAGCTACGGGCCAGGCACCACAGCTCAGGGGTTAGGGGCCTGGGGCTGTGGGGCCGACCACCTGGGTTTGATTCTTGGGCCTCCGCTCACAGTGACTGGGGGTGACTGACCTGGCCTCTCTGAGCCTCAGCTCTTCATCTGGAAAGTGGGAAGAATACTGCTCACTTCCCAGGGTTGGCAGGACTGGGAGGCTGGATGGAGAGATTGGTATGTAGTAGGTGTCCAGTTGGTGGCAGTCACCATAGGCACTGGTACCTCATCTGACCTCACAGGGGTGGGTGACACTTTTCCACCATGCAGCTGATGCATGACCTGAGCAGTCCTTTGTCCGCAGCCGCCCTGGGCACGCTGGACTTCAGCCTCCTCTACGACCAGGAGAACAATGCCCTCCACTGCACCATCAGCAAGGCCAAGGTAGGCCCCTTGGGTTCCCACTGTTCTCAGGCCCAGGCCGTATGTGCTCCCTGGAGGAGGGGCTGAGGTCATAAGGCTAGTCCTCCCCATCTGTTTTTCATCCAGGCTTGGTGGTATCTGTGCTGTGAGTGCAGGGCGGGGAGGGGACTCTTACCTCAATTCCTACCTCAGTCATCTTTGCTGCCCTAAAAAGTCTCAGAGACAGGCATTTGGGAAAGAAGCAGAACAAAGAAAGAGGAGGAAAATGAGAGGATGAAGGCCTGCATGGGACTTTCAGGGGACAGACCCACCAGAGCTGGGGAGGGGCTGTTGACGGAGGGAAGAGTGAGCAGGCACCACTGTCCCACTCTGGATGCTGAGGCTACTCCAAGCAGGGGATTAATCTTTTAGAACCAGGGTCTGCATCCTGCTCTCTGGGTTGGGGCCGTGGGTGGCTCTGCCCCTCTGGCTGGCATGTGTCAGCTCTGTATTCTCAGCCAAGTTATTCCCTTCGTCCCCTCACATATCACTCCTTCTGGGATGAAGGTGCCAAAGTTGATGTTCTCTCGGAAGGTAAGGGCTGCAGTGCAGCCTAGTAGAACCTCCCAGTAGAGTCGTGGAAGGGCCTGGGCCCAGCTCAGAGCCAGGAGCTTCCAGCCCAGCTCCCTGGGCCCAGACCCCGCTCTAGCCCGCAACCTGTGAGCTTCTCTGCCCCTCCCTCCCACCTTGCCCGTGACTCTTCCCACCCAGAGGGCCGGGCTGCCTGCTACTGCCACAGCTGTGTCCCGCCCTACTTGTGCCACCACACCTGGACTGCCATAGCAGGGGTGAGTAGTGTCACATTGGGCCCCTAGAGGCCCGCACACTCCATCCTGGCCCCTGCCTTGTCCTCTGGGAGCTGCTCGGGTGGTGATGCAGGGCATGCCCAGCCTGACCTGGTAAGGGCTCCAGACCTGTCTTTAGGTACAGAGCTGAAAATCTGGTGACCCCCAACTATGCCAAGGTGAGGACAGGCTGCAAAACCCAAACAGATCCCTTCCCCTCTCCCTCCACCAAGCTTTATACAGGTTGTCCAGGTTTGGGGACTGAGAAAGGGCACTGGCTGCCAGGCCACTCTGGCCAGAGCCATCCTTTCTCCTCCCCATCCCAGACACTGTGCCCTCCTGTGCCGTGTGCCCTACTTTTCCTACCTGGGCCCCAGAGGGGCTGTGCGGGTGACCTGGGGTATGTACGTGTGTGTGCGTGCACAGGTCTCTGTGGATACCTGTATATGCACATGTATGTGTGTGTTCCTTGGGGGGTGTCGCTCAAGGCATCGGAGGTGGGGGATGGTAGGGCCATGAGCCATGGCAGCTCCCCAGCTCTCTAGATCATTCTCTGCTTAGATCCAGTTCTGCAGGGGTGAGGGTAGCACAGGCATGGAAGGAGTTAGGGCTCTGGGCTAGAGTGTGGGGAGGAGCCCCAAGGGTTGAGGAGGCTGAGGCAGGGCTGATAGGCAAAGCCCCTCAGGAGACTCTAGGAGGAAGCCAGCTGGATCCTAGCTTGGCCACTCTCCTCTTGGGTAAGCAGAGAAACCTCAATTTCTTCCTCTGTAAAATAGGGTTAATCATCCCCACCTGTATGATGGTTGTGAGTATTATGTGATTAAGGGCTCAGTACCTAACACTGTCCTGGAGGACAGTGCCAGGTGGCAAGTGTCCACCCCACCCACATTCACATGGACATGCGGGAACTCAACTGGCAGACCGCCAGTCCTCGGCAGGTGAGAGGCCAGGATGAGGGACTTGTGTTCGGAAGGGCCACCTCATTGCTGTGGCACACGCAAGGCCTCCAAGCCAACCCTCATCCCAGAGCCAGCCCCATGGAGCGGGGCAGAGCTCAGATACCCCACCTCGGCCCCCACCCAGTCCTCTGGCATCTTCCTGGGGGCCTGGCATGTCAGGGATGGGGAGCAAACACCCCGCTATCCAGGCCCTTCATCAGCCTTACATCCTCAACTCCCACTCCAACCCTGGCAAGCAGGGACTATTAACTCTTTTTTTATAGATCATAAAGCTGAGGGTCAAGAGGCAAAGGAACCCACTCCCATACCTAACTAATGAATCCAGAAGCTGACGTCTGAACCCAGGCCAGCCTGGCTCTGAAACCTGGCATGTCAGGGATGTAGAGCAGAGAGAGGTTTGAAGCCCCTACTTGGGCGCTCCTTTAAATCCAGGTGGGGGTGGGGCAGGAGAAGAGTCTCAGCTCCCTTTGGAGTGGGGCCTGGTTATGAGCAGCCAACCTGCAGTTCATCTCTGGATGATGTCATGAGGTTGCCAGCTCTGCCCACACACGCCACAGCTGCCTCCCTACATCCCTGTAGAAAAAAATAGAATTTTCAGAAAACAAGACTAGGTATGAGGTCAGCTAGACCCTGTCCGTTCATGGTTCCACTGGTTTCCCGGCTGTGCACACTTGACTGATTGTTCAGAGTGAGTGAGGGCTGCCATCTTGTGGAAGGACCCTCTGTGGCCAGCCAGCTGTGTGGCCTCAGGCGGGGAGCCATGGCACATCCAGAGAGAAAATGAGCCTGGTTTCCAGGACATAGAACATTTTCCCACAGACACAAAGGGAAGCGTGTGGGTGAGTAGACAGAGGGTCATGTGGATTTAGGGTCAGTGAGAGAAGTCTCATGTTTGGAGAGTAGGGGAGGGGAATCAGGAAGAAGGAAGTGCCTAACTAACCAAAGCAGGATAATGAGGGCCCCACTCAGAGAAAGGTGAGTCACCTGTCCTCCACGACAAGGAGAATAGAAAGGGAAAGGCTGCTCTGATAAAGATGCCCCACACCTGCCCTGGGCCAGGACATTTGGAGGGGAGATTACACAAGCACTGAACCGTCCTCACTTCCCCACTCTCAGAGTGTGGGGCCAGGGGGCTTCTGTGAAGAGGGTCATGAATGGACCCAGCCAGGCAGCCCTGGGGACAAGGGATGCCTCCTGCCCCAGGTGCCTGGAGGCCTTGGCTGCTCTTTGTCCCCAAACCTCAGTTCGCACCTTTTGCTGTTCTCTGCTCAGGGCCTGAAGCCAATGGACCACAACGGGCTGGCGGACCCCTACGTCAAGCTGCACCTGCTGCCTGGAGCCAGTAAGGTGAGGGGGTCTGCCCTAGGCCTGCCTACCAGCTCTGTCCACTGCAGCAGAGGCCCAGACTGGGCTTGGGGCACCCAGGGTGGCCCATAGCTCCCATACCCCCTCAAAGCCCAAGCAAGATGGGGACTCTAGCCGTTCACCTTCACCCAGAGCACCCAGTCAGCCCACACCCTCCAGACCTCTCAGGAACCTCAAGTCAGCACCACCTGCCTGCTGAGTTGGGGAAACCTTCCAGAGCATTCCCAGGACAGCATTTTATGAGAAGCAGTCTTAGCTGGAGATTAATAGTATGTGTAAAAAAAGGGTTCTGTAGTCAAATAACATCGGAAAACATTGTTAAACAGGTTTCTTTTCTGCAGGACTTACCAGAGCCTTTAATGTGTTGATGGGCTACTCTGTAGTGTTCCGCAAGGAGGATGGAGTAGGCACAGAACCTTTGTTTTTTGAGCACAGAACCTTTGTTCCCATTCTAGATGACCCAACAGGCAGCCCAAGCACATGGTACATCTAGGAAAGCGGAGAAAAATTTTTTTAGCAGAACTTTGCTATGAAACAAAAGCATCAAGGTCGCCCTCAGCACTGAAAGATCAAAACTTGGTTAGACTTCTCTATATAAGTTTAACAGTTCATTTTTAATTTCACGAGAGGGAAGGTCACCTCATCTTTCAGAATTGGGTCTTGCTCTACGTCTCGGGCAGGGGGGTGCGTTGTGCAGACCCCATGCCAGGGGGGACTCGACTAGAGACCAGCAGCTTTGCTTCCAGGTGGAGACCAGGGGTAAAGCAGAGGGACATGAGACACAGGACACAGGAGCATGAGCAGCAGAGTCCAGTGGCTGGTGTCCTTGTCCTGGCCTCTTTCTCCAGAGCCAAGAGTTGGAGAATTCCTTCCTGGCCCTCAAGTAGCCTGAGAGGGAGGAAAAATCAGGAATGGGTGTGCCCCGCTAGGAGGAGGGCCTCCCTGGCCACTGTTAGGACTCTTCCGGGCCAACTAGGCAGTCCTGCCCCTGGCTGTGAAGCCACAGGTGGCTGGGGCCTGAGATGACTCTGAGGCCTAAACCCTCTAGACCAGTGTACAGGGCTGAGGCTCACCACCTTCCAGGAGAGCCACCCAGAAGGCAGCAGACCCGAGGTAGTGAGTGCCCCACTCCAGGCCTCCACCTCCTCATGCTGCAGCTGGGACTCCCAGGGCTATGAGGGCTGAAGGCCCTGTAACCAGGGGACTGTGCCCAATCTGGGGGCTCACTGACTCTAGTCCTTAGATTCCTGGGACCTAGAATGGGCGAGACCTGGAGGCTGAGTTGTGGGAACCCCCATAGGATTTCCTGCATAGAGCAGTGTTTTACAAAGAAAATCTCCTGGTGAAGAAGGTTCCTGAAAGCAATGCCGAAAAAGAGGTATTATTATGCCCTTCTTACAGTGGGGGACCTGACACAGAGGATAAAAATCTCACTGAGCTCCACAGAGCTTATATAAGTGGTGGAGCTGGGATTTGAACCCAGGCCTATCTGACCTCAGCCTGGGCCAGGTGTGGCAGACGTCTCAGGGACTCAGACACAGGGCTCAGAGTCTGAAGGGGGCCAGACAGGTAAGGCGTGTAAGAAGCCAGTTCAGTGGAAGCACAGAGGGAGGAGTGGAGGCAACATGGCAGCTTGGACAGGCCACCCCACAGGAGAAGTGGCATTCTAGGCAGAGGGGACAGCCTGTGCAAGGGCAAGGAGGTGTGAGGGAGAGAATTCAGTCCCACAGCTAGGCTTCCCAGCAGCCCAGCCCCCTGGAGGACCCCCTCCACCCCCCACCACGCACACCAAGGGCCTGGAATCGGGGCTCCTCCTGTTTTAGTTTCCTAGGACTGCAGGAGCAAATTTTACCACCCACTTAGTGGCTTACGACAACATAAATTTCTTCTAGTTCTGCAGGTTAGAGGTCCAACATAGGTTGCACTGGGCTAAAACCAAGTGTCACAGGGCTGCGGTCCCTTCTGCAGGCTCTAAGGGAGAAGCCATGTCCCATCCCTTTCCAGCTTCTAGAGGCCACTCCTTCCTCCGTCTTCAAAGCCGACAACATTGCCTCTCTTGACCATCTTCCCTCATCACATCTCCCTCTGACTCTCCTCTCCTGCCTATTTCTACCACTTTTAAGGACCCTGCAATTACACAGGGCCCACCCAGGTCCTCTAGATAATCTCCCTGTTTTAAAGTCAGTTGATTACAATCATAATTCCCCTTTGCCACGTGCGAGAACATAGTCACAGGTTGAGGGGGCTGAGGGTGTGGGCATCTTTGGGGGCCATTAGTCTGCCTACCGCTCACAGGATTGTTTGTTGCTCTCTGCAGGCAAATAAGCTCAGAACAAAAACTCTCCGAAACACTCTGAACCCCACATGGAATGAGACCCTCACTTACTATGGGATCACAGATGAAGACATGATCCGAAAAACCCTGCGGTGGGTGAGGGCTCTGGGCCGCAGCCTCCTCCCCTACCGACTCCCACCCCAGCCTTATCCACAGGGGCCGGCCCTGCCTACCCACTCCCTACCCACTCCCTACCCACTGCTTGCAAATCCCCACTGACTTTGGAGCACCCAGTGTGTCTGAAGAGCTGGCCATGCCCTTGCCCTCCAGGATCTCCGTGTGTGATGAGGACAAATTTCGCCACAACGAGTTCATCGGGGAGACGCGAGTGCCCCTGAAGAAGCTGAAACCCAACCACACCAAGACATTCAGCATCTGCCTGGAGAAGCAGCTGCCAGTGAGTGGGCCACAGGGTTCTGCAGGCCATCTTGGGCCCTCCCTGCCATGCGCTCAGGGCCAGCAGCATTTATTAATCACCTACTATGTGCCTGGTACAGTTGCAGGTGCTGGGAGACAGACAAAAATCCCTGCCCACATGGAGCTTGAGCAGGAGATAGACCCAAAACAGGATAAGCCACCCAAACAGATCATGTGTTAGACAGTGATCAAGGCCAAGAAAGAAAGCATGAGAGGGGTTGATGGAAGCTCAGTGAAGGACTCACTAGGCACGCAGGAGTATTTCAGGCAGAGGGAACAGCGGGTGCAGAACCCTGTGTAAAAAGTGCCCAGCCTGTTGGCGGCACAGGCAAGAAGCCCACTGAGCAAACTTGGGGAAAGAGGAGAAGGGGTGAGAGCAGAGGTCGGGGGATGGAGAAGTGGGAAGGTCTCAGTTCTTTACCCTGAGTGAGATGAGCTATGGGAGGGTGCTAGGCAGGGCTAGGGCATTTGATTACATTTTAACAGGCTCTCTGGGCTCAGAATGGGAAAGAGAGGAGGGTGAGGGTGGGGAGAGCAGTGAGGAGGAAATGAGCATGACTCAGGCCTGGGCAGGGGCAGCGGCAGAGCAGAAGTGCTGGGTCCTGGATGAGTGTGCTGGCAGATCCATTTCCCCAGGCATGGGGGCCCAAGTGCCTGCAAGGGTAAAGGTCATTAACCGTGACATGGAGGACCTTGAGAGGAGCAGCTGGGGATCCAGTAGCTCAACTGGAACATGTTAGGCATGAAGTGCCTGTGAGATACCCAGCAGAGACAGAAAATAATTCTTTCCTAGAAATTGCAATTATTTGAAAATGATGTCGAAACTGATTTTTTCCCCCTGGCTGTCTGCGCAGCTGAGCTCTCCCAGTCTCGGTCCACTTGTCTCTCATCTCTCTCTCCCCTGTTGGAGGCCTTGCCTTCACCTAGTTCAGAAAGTCTTAGAGCATTTGGCCAGGAGGCCCTGGGTCTCAAGAAACCTTGACCCTCTGGCAGCCCAGTGTTCAGAGTACAGTCCCCTTCCTGGGACATTTTTCCCCCAGAGGCTTGGGTAAGGGGACAGCTCAAGAAGACAGAACCCAGTGGCTGTACCCCATGTGCGCATCTCCTGGTGGGGTCTGGGCCCTGGGACAAATGCTCAGAGCAGCCTGGCCTGGGTCAAGCCCTGGGAACAAGTCAGCCTAAGGCCGGAGCTCCCTGCCAGAATCCCAGCTCTGTCTTCTTGCATAACTTGATCAAATTTTATTCTCTTGTCATGTTCTCTCCCACTCATAGACATTTGTGTGATGGATATGACCTTTTTTAGTTTATTATTAGTCACTAACCACAGGTAACCCAGTTTTTCCAAATGATCTATGTCATTTATAGGCAACATCAACTCCTACTATAGTTGTATTCCTGAGTTTTGATCCCTGGCATAAACAAGCAACTGTGCGGAGGTGTGAGCGTGCATGTGTATGTGTGTGAATTGTGTGTGAGAGCATTGTGTATGTGTGTAAACATGTATCTGCGTGTGAACAAGTATGCATGTGTGGGCTCATTTGAGTGTGCGGAATGCGTGTGTGAGCGTGTTTGTGCATGCGGATGGGTGAGTGGGTGTGCTGTGCATGATCGGAGTGTTTCTGAGTTTTGCCTGGATTTGCGAGGAGCTCATTGATCTGGTTTCGGGGATAGAGGTTAAGCACAAGAGTGTAGTTTGGAATTGACTACTCTGGCAGTAAAGATACATTTTGATGGTACATTTTAGATTTACATAGTCTGAGAACTTATTTGTTCTCAGTAAATACTGAACAATGCCCAGCTTAACGCTCTTCACATGAAACAACTTGGAGTACAATATACCCCCTAAAAAAACAGCTGAAAATATCCCTGCTCATTTGTATTGTTTAATTTCCGCACATGACACAAACTAGCACAAGAGCCATGGTTTAGTGAAGCCCTAGGCCAGAGTGGCAGACAGTTAACTCTCACATACCTAGTCTGCTATGTTGGTGGTGGCTGCCTGAGCTCTGTGTTGAGAGATGCTGAGGCTGCATTTCAGCTCTGGACGAATGCTGTGATCAAGTAGCCATGTCTGTTCTGGGTGTGGGAGTTGGGGAAGGTGGTCCTTCCCTCACTTTACAGTAGCTGCATCTCCAGGTAGGTGTAGGTGTGGGCCCTGCCTCCACAAGGCCATGTGGGGCATCACTTCAGCAATAGGGCAGTCATGCGTGAAGGGACATGGCTGAGCCTTCCTGTGAGAGGAGCCTGGCTGAGAGGCCTAAGAAGGGGCCCTTGGGGATCATGGGCTCCAGCTGGATGTGTCTGGGTGGACAGAGGGTAAAGGAGAGGGGTCCTCGTGAGCAGCAGCCAGAATGTGGAAATGGGTGATCTGAAGAGGGTGAGGAATGGAGAAGCGTCAGGTAGCTGGGGTGGGGAGGCCAGACGTGAGGCCTAGAGGAGAGGTCTGTTTCCCAGAGGGGGGCATGAGAGGAGCCTAGGTGGCCCCCATCTGCCTTCCAGCTTCCCCTGAGGTTGGGAATGTGTCAAAGCTCTGTCTCGCGTGTTCTCCCCAAGGAGGCTGCCCCTTGGACCCTGAGAGGCTCCAGGAAAATCTTCAGGGGAGCTGGAGCCAGGGTGACCCCTCGTCATCCACAGGCTCCACTTGTCCTGGGCCCATCAACAGCCTCGGTGGCCCATGGCTGAGGATGAGGATGGGAACAGGTGAGGACGGCCCAGTAACTTCCCTCCCCACAGGTGGACAAGACAGAAGACAAGTCCCTGGAGGAGCGGGGCCGCATCCTCATCTCCCTCAAGTACAGCTCGCAGAAGCAGGGCCTGCTGGTCGGCATCGTGCGCTGTGCACACCTGGCTGCCATGGACGCCAATGGCTACTCGGACCCCTACGTGAAAACGTGAGTGAGCGGCCAGGTCGGCCACCTCCTTCCCCACTCACCTCAGGAGAAGGGAGTTCCGTGTGATGAGATCAGTTGTTAGTGAAGTGAGCACTGAGGGAGGCCTGTGTCCACAGACCGCATTCTCTTCTGTGCTCCTTTGGCGACTCCGTGGGTTAAGTCTAGCCAGCCCCATTTCACACGTGAGGAAACTGAGGCCCATAGAAGCTCAGTGGCTTCTCAGGTCTCACAGATAGAGAGCAGTTATGCCCCAATGCCCCATTTAGGCCTCCTCGCAAGCACAGGGCCCAGGACGGGCTATGAGCAAGTTGCAGGAGGGGGCAGGAGGGGAAAGGCCTGTGCCAAGAGCCTGGGAAATCCAGTGTAAGAGCTCTGCCAGGACTTAGTCCTGCCCACATGTGCCCACCCCTGTGCTGGTGTCATAGGTGCAGATAAGGGTCCACCCAGCCCTGCCAGCAGGGGCTCATGGCGGCACTGGGGAGAGACAGTAACTCAGGGGCCATGCAAGATGGCCGGGGCCCCAAGTCATAAACCTGTCCCAGGATAGGCTGTGATCCTAGCTCTGAGGGGCAGGATCCCTGGTAGCCCTTCGGATAGAGATAAAGCAGATGTCACAGTGACCACCATCGGTACTTCGGGCCCTCCACAAACAAAAGATGGATATTAGCCTGCATTCACAGTGAGACTCTCTTGAAGGGTGGGGCTTGGAGAGGATTTGGCTCAGCAGAAAGGAGGTGTGCCTCTTTAGTCAGAGGGACAGAGGAGTTGAGATACAGAAGCACGAGTGGGCCTGGCCTGAGGGACAGTGAGGAGACCTGGGTGACAGAGGCCACGAGGACATCTTGACACCACAGGGAAGCCAGTGCTGCCCCATGGCACAATTCTAGGGCCACCATTTCTACTGGCCACTGTCATATTTCTGTTACTTTTAGAATCAGATGACAAAAATGGTGCAGATACTTTGGAAAAGGGTCTGGCAGTTACTCAAATGGCTAAACATGGAGTTACCACATGACCCAGCAATTCCACTCCTAGGTGTTTACCCAAACTGAAAACATGTCCACACAAAAACTTATACATGAATGTTCATAGAAGCAATATTCACAATAGACAAAAGGCAGAAACAACCTAAGTGTCCATCAAACAATGAATGGATAGACAAAATGTGGGCTATCCGTGCGATGGAATATTATTCAGCCATAGAAAGGGGCAAAATACTGATTCATGCTACAGCATGTAGGAACCTTGAAAATATTATGCTAAGTGAAAGAGGCCACACCTTGTTTGATTCCATGAATTATATGAACTGTCCAGAATAGGCAAATTCATAGAGACAGAAAGCATAGTAGTAGTTGCCAGGGGCTGAGGGAGCTTACGGGGAAATGGGGAGTGACTGCTGATGAGTATTGGATCCTTTTCAGGGGTGAAACAAATGTTATAAATGGATTGTGGTGGCGGTTGTATAACTCTGTGAATACACTAAAAACTATTCATCTGTGTACTTTAAAAGGGTCTGTTGTACAGCATGGGAAGCATATCTCAGTATAGCTGTTATTTTTTTTTTAATCCAATACCACCAGTCCCCAGGAGCAGTGCCCAGATGTAATGAGAAGGTGACCAGGATCATTGGGAGAAGGCAGGTTCCTGCAAATGGCTAGGGATTACTCATTTTCCGCATTAAAAAAAAAAAAAAAAACCGCAATGAACTGGACCCCGATGTCGACCATTAGCAAAACAGTGATTTCCAGTGGATTAGAGACCACTGTGAGGGCAAGTACTGTAACACTTCAGAAAATAATCGGGATACTCTATAACCATTGGAGAAAATTCGGCAAAATCCAATAAAGTGGGAAATTGTGTGCCCTATGGCTGCATTATTTCCTTCTACATTTGTATCCTAGAAACCCATGTCTGGGTGGAAAGCTGTTTATTGCAGCATTGTTTGTCATAGCAATAAACTGGAAATAGCCAAGCATTCATTCATCAGCAAAAGAATAGATTAATAAAATGTGGCATATCCATAGGATGGAATACTATGTAGTTAACACGAATAAAATAGGACTAGATGAATTAACATGGACAGCTATCCAAAACATGCTCAGCCCAGAAGCAACCTGCAGCACCGTGTACATGGTGCGGTGGTGCTGTTTCTTAAACCTGCAGAGCATCTCACTGTAGTGGCGGTCTCTGGAGAGAGCGGAAGGGGTAGGGGCTGGAGAGGGAGCACAGTGCCTTCATCTGCACCTGTGACGCTAGAGTTCTCTTATGGCAGGAAATACAGTCTGAAGCCAAAACGGTATGAAATTTTTAATTCAGGTTCAGTGATCATCTGCCAGGTTGACAGGAACACCAGGGTCCTTTGTGGGGTTATCCAGAAAGCGGGATCTCATCTGGTACAACAGACAGTCCAGCCACTTCCCACGGCCAGGCAGAGGTGGCCCTGGCAGGACATGTCACTACACCCAGGCTTGGAGGCTGCTCAGCCCGCTACAGCAGTGTCTCGCCACCCAGCCACAGGCCAGGTCAGCATGGCCTTTCAAAGACCGGCAGATCTGTGGGTGCCTCCCTGTATCAGAGCCATATGGCGCTTCCCCGAGGGCCACATCAACCTAGAAACCCCCACATTTGATTAAAATTCCCCAGGTGAGACGTGGGGACTGCTGCTAAGGCCTCCTCATGGTTCCCTATCTCTGAAAGGCCCCTTCATGGACCATGGGCCTCTTTCTTGCTAAAAGCAGGAGAAATAGAGGCACAAGTTAGATTGTGAGCAGAGTGCCCTTGCGGCTGCATCCTTTGGCAGGGCACCTGTGATCCTGAGAAGGGAGCTAGCTGGGGAAGTGCCAGGTGGTAGGTGCTGAGGGGCAAAGCTAGATGAGCCAAGGCCTTTAGTCACCCTAGGTGACTTGAGCCTCAGTTTCCCCAGGCTGAAAATTGACCCCAAATCCAGCTCTTCGGAGATGGAAAAAAACGGGGGTACCCACGATGATGATAATCACCACTAACATGTACTGAGTGATTGTGTGCCAAGAGCTGTGCCAGGCCTCTCGAACCCTTCCAATAACCCAACTCTGTCATGTCCATTACTATCTTCATGTTCCTCCTAGAGAAACAGGAAACTCAAGCAACTTGCTGTGCCTCCCTGGGCAACTCTTTTCTTCTCTGGCCCTCTGGTTTCTTCTAGGGGCCTTAGGTGAGCAGTAGTCGCTGTGCAGAAGGGGTCAGAGGTGACATTGCTGAGGATGCTCCATGACCCCTGCTGGCCAGGGCAGGAGAGGGTCCTGATAGCAAGGAGAGAGGCCACCGGGCAGGCCTCAGGTGCTTTGCCAGGGTGTGCTCCCAACCCACGCAAGTCGCCCTCCGGAGGAAGTTCACCTGGAATGGTGAGGCGAGGCAGGAAGGGTGCTCCAGGCAGAGGAGACAGTACAAAGGCCTGGCCTAGAAGCAGAACAGAGGATGATCCCTAGGGGAACTGTCTATGGCTGGAGGCCCTGAGGCTGGTGGCCACCGTGGGGGCCTGGTGGCCCGGTGAGGGGTCACCAGGTGGATACCGACCATGCAGCACTGAGGGTGTGGGGATGCCGGAACAGCTTTTCTTAATGGGGCTTCCGAAGGCAGGGTAAGGGAAGCTCCCATTGTGTGGGGCTCCCTTGTCCCTTCTTCTTACACCCAAACAAAACAGGCAAAGGACAAGTCAAAATAAAATACCGATAAACAGCAAAATGGTCAACAAGCATATGGAAGCTTGTAAGGAGCTGAAGAAACTCACCGAATCTGGGTAGGGGCTTAAGGGAACCACCCAACTTGTTCTAAAACACCAGTTTATTGAGGTATGATTTAAACACAGTGAGTTTCTCCCTTTTTGAAATTTGACTGGCATTTTCAATCTTGTTACCACAACCACAGCCAAAATATAGAATACTTCTCTCACCCCAGAAAGTACCCCCAGCCCCAGGCAACCACTGACTTGTTTTCTGTCCCAACAGTTATTATGCCTTTTCCAGACTTCCTCATCAAGGCCATAGTACAATGCATCATCTTCGGAATCTATCATCTTTCATGTGGCACAATGCATTGGAGATTCAGCCGCGTGGCTGCCTGAGCTGGTAGCTTAGTCTTTTTGCTGATTAGCCATCCACTGAACAGATAGATAAACCACAGGTTCTTAATCAGTTCACCAGCTGAAGTGCAGGTAGTTTGTTTCCAGTTTTGGGTGATTATAAAAAGCTGCTAAAGACCAGGTTTTTGTGTGAACATATGCCTTCATTTCTCTCCCCCATCCCCAACTTTTGTCAATACGTTTTTTAGTGTTTCTGCAATGAATCAGTATTATTTATGTAATAAAAATCACAAGCAAAGAAAATAAAAAATGCAAAGTAAAGCAACAGTGAGATACCACTTTCTGCCTTTGAAACTAGCAAGGATTTTTTTATTATTACATTTATTGGAGTAACATTGGTTAATAACATTATATAAATTTCAGGTGTACAACTTTATAATATGGAATCTGTATACTGTATTGTGTGTGAACCATTCAAAGTCTAGTCTCCTCTGTCACTTTGTATTTGACCCCTTTTACCTTCTTCATCCTCCCCTCACCCTGCTTCCCTTCTAGTAACCACCCTTCTGTTGTCTATATCTATGAGTTTGTTTTGTTTGTTCATTTGTTGCCTTTTGTTTTACATCCCACATGATTGAAATCTTGTCCTTTTCCACCTGACTTATCTCACTTAGCATAACACTCTCAACATTCATTTATGTTGTCGCAGATGACAATTTTTCATCTTGAATAGTTCAGTAGTATTCCATTGTGTGTGTGTGTATACACACACACACACACACACGCACATATGTGTGTGTGTGTGTGTGTGTGTGTATGTATACACCACATTGCTTTAGCCAATCATCTGTCAAGGGACACTTAGGTTATTTCCATGCCTTGGCTATTGTTAATAATGCTGCAATGAACACAGGTGTGCATATATCTTTACGAATAAGTGTCTTCAAATTTTTCAGGCAGACACTCAGAAGAGGGATTTCTGGGTCATATGGCAGCTCTATTCTCAACACTGTTCTCCAAAGTGGCTGCACCAATTCACATTCCTACCAGCAGTGTACAAACGTTCCCTTTTCTCTACATCCTCTCCAATACGTTTTTTGTGTTGTTGTTTTTTTTCATCTTATTAATAGCCTTTCTAAGGGGTGTGTGATGGTATCTCATTGTGGTTTTGATTTGCATTTCCCTTAGCTAGTGATGTTGAGCCTTTTTTCATATATCTATATGTCTTCCTTGGAAAAGTGTCTATTCAGGCCCGCTGTCATTTTTTCATTGGATTGTTTTTTGTTTGTTTATGAGTTGTGCGAGTTCTTTAAACATTTTGGATATTAGCCTCTTATCAGAGGTGTCATTTAATTGGATTGTTTTTTGTTTGTTTTTGAGTTGTGCGAGTTCTTTGAACATTTTGGATATTAGCCTATCAGAGGTGTCATTTGCAAATATCTTCTCCCATTCAATTTGTTACATTTTTGTTTTGCTGGTTTCTTTTGCTATACAGAAGCTTTTTACTTTGATGTAGTCCCATTCATTTTTTTTTTGTTTTTACTACCCTTGTCCTTGGGGTCAAGTTTACAAAACCCCGTGAGACCAAAGTCCATAAGTTTAGTATGTGTGTTTTCTTCTATGCATTTTAGTGTTTCAGATCTTATATTCAGGTCCTTAATCCATTTCGAGTTAACTTTTGTGTATGGTATCAGATAGTATAGTTTCATTCTTTTCCATGTGGCTTTCCAGTTTTCCCCAATACCATTTAATGAAATGAAGAGACTTGCCTTTCTCCATTGCATGTTTTTGACTCCTTGGTCAAAAATTAGTTGCCCATATATGTGTGGGTTTACATCTGAGCTCTCAATTCTGTTCCAGTAGTCTGCATGTCTGTTTTTCTGCCACTACCATGCCATTTTGATTACTGTAGCTTTATAGCATGGGTTAAAGTCAGGAAGTATAATACTGCTGGCTTTATTCTTTTTTCTTATGATTGCTTTGCCTATTTGGGATCTTTTGTGGTTTCATACAAATTTGAGGATTTTTTTCTTCTATTTTGTGGAAGATGCCATTGGGATTTTGATAGAGATTACATTAAATTGTAATATTGCTTTAGGTATGTGATCACTGTAACAATGTTAATTCAATCCATGAACACAGACTATCTTTCATTTCTTTATGTCTTTAATTTCTTTTAACAAAGTCTTGTGCTTTTTCGTATACAGGTCCTTCACCTCCTTTGTTAAGCTTATTCTTAGGTATTTTATTCTTTTCATTGCAATTATAAATGTGTTTGTTTTCATTTCTCTTTCTAATATTTTAGTGTCAGTATGGAGGAATGCAACAGATTTTTATATATTGATTTTATATCCTGTAACTTTACTGTATTTATTATTTCTAATAGTGTTTTGGTGGGGTCTTTAGGACTATCTATATGTAGAATCATGCCATCTGAAAATAATGAAATTTCTACTTTATTCCCAATTTGGATGCCTTTTACTTTTTTCTTGCCTAATTACTCTGGCTAGGACTTCCAGTGAATAACAGCAGTAAGAGTGGGCGTCCTTGTCTTGTTCCTGATCTTAGAGGAAAAGTTTTCATTTTTCACCATTGAGTATGATGTTAGCTGAGAGTTTGTCATATATGGCCTTTATTATATTGAGGTACTTTTCTTCTATACCCATTTTATTTAGGGTTTTTATCATAAGCAGATATTATATCTTATTAAATGCTTTTGCTGAATCTATTGATATGATCATATGATTTTTATATTTTATTTTGTTAATGTAGTATATCAAGTTGATTTGCAGATGTTGACCCATCTCTTGCATCCCTGTAATGAACCCCACTTGATCATAATGTATGATCCTTTTAATGTATTGTTGTATTCAATTTGCTAATATTCCATTTAGAATTTTTGCATTTATGACCATCAGTGATATTGGCGTGTAATTTTCTTTTTATGTATTGTCCTTGCCTGGTTTTTGTATCAGGGTAATATTGGCCTTGTAAAATGAGTTGGAAAGTATTCTCTCTTCTTCAATTTTTTGGAAGAAGTTGAGAAAGATGGGTATTATATCTTCTTTGAATGTTTGGTAAAATTCACCGATGAAGCCATCTGGTCTTGGACTTTTGGGGGAGGATTTTTATTACTGTTTCAATTCTTTACTAGTGATCAATCTATTTAGGTTTTCTACCTCTTCATTATTAAGTTTAGGAAGGTTGTATACTTCTAAGAATTTGCCCATTTCTTCTAAGTTATCGAATGTGGTGGCATATAGCATTCCACAGTATTCTTGTGTAATACTTTGTATTTTTATGGTGTCCATTTAACTTCTCTTTCATTTCTGATTTTGAGTCTTCTCTCTTCTCCTTAATGAGTTTAGCCGGAGGTTTGTCTTTTCAAAGAACCAAGTCTTTGTTTCATTAATTTTTTTCTATTGTCTTTTTGTTCTCTATTTCATTTATTTCTGCTTTGGTTTTTATTTCCTTCCTTAGTTGACTTTAGGCTTCATTTGTTCTTATTTTTCTAGTTCTTTAAGATATAATGTTAGATTGTTTATTTGGCATTTTTCTTGTTTCTTAAGGTATGCCCATAAGCTATAAAATTCTCTCTTACTACTGCTTTTGCTGCATCCCAAAAATTTTGGTATGTCGTATTTTCATTTGCATTTGTCTCTTTGTATCTGTGACCTCTTATTTAGTCTTTGACCCAATAGTTGTTCAGTAGCATGTTGTTTAATCTCCACACATTTGTGGGTTCTCCAGATTTCTCCTTGTAATTAATTTCGTTTCATAGTATTGATTGGAAAACATGCTTGGTATTATTTCATTCATAAATTTATTGACTAGTTTTATGTCCCAACATGTGGTCTATCCTCGAGAATGTTTTGTTTGCACTTGAAAATGATGTGTATTCTGTCATTGGGGGATGCAAAATTCTATAAATATCAAGTCCAGTTGGTCTAATGTGCCATTTAATGTGATATTTTCTTACTGACTTTCTGTATGGATGATCTATTAATTGCTGTGAGTGAGATATTCAAGTCCCCTACTATAATTGTAATTTTTTCAGTTTCTGCCTTTAGGTCTGTTAGTAATTGCTTTATGTTCTTTGGTGCAATATATATGCACCAATTTGGGTGTATATATATTGATAAGTGTTATGTCTTCTCGATGAATTATCCCCTTTATCATTATAAAATGTCCATTTTTGTCTCCTGTTACCTTTTTTATCTTGAAATCTATTTTGTCTGATATAAGTACTGCTACATCCCCATTTTTCTCTAGATGCCATTTGCTTGTAATATCATCTTCCACCCTTCACACTTTAAGCCTGTTTGACTCTGGAATTGAAGTGAGTCTCCTGCAGGCAACATATAGTTAGGTTTTTGTTTTTTAATCCATCCCACTACTCTGTGCTTTTTGATCAGTGAGTTTAGTCTCTTTACATTTAGGGTGGTTATTGATACGTAAGGATGTACTACAGCCATTTTATCTCTTGTCTTCTGGTTGCTCTATCTGCGTTGTTTCTTTTCCATTGCGATTCTGGTCTGCTATTTTAGCTTGGCAGTTTTCTATGCTTTTTTTTTTCTCTCACGTTTTATGTCTCAGCAAGGATTTTTAAGGCGATGGTATTCAGTTTTATCAAGTGCACTGTGTTTCAACTTCATGGCCTTTCGGTGGGCATTTTGGCAAAATGAAGCAAGAAGCTTGACACGTGTATGTGGGTAATTTCACTTCTAGGAATTCAGTCATTTATTCAGCAGATGTTTATGGACCTGCTGAGTTCCAAGCACTGAGCTGGGTGCCAGGAAGCTGATGGTTGGTGAGACAGATGTGGTCCTTACCCTCAGATCATCCTCAGCAGGGGCAGAGCAATTGTCACTCGGTTACCTCTGCAGGGATATAATGAGAAGTTCTGCAAAGGAGAGGTTCTAAGCCTCCTGTTCCGGCCTCTGAACACCAGCCCTGTGCTGAGCAGCTGTGTGACCTTGGGCAAGTCCCTGTACGTCCTGAGCCTCAGATAAGACAACTGTTCTGCATCAAATTCTAAGGAGCTAACGCATATGGAGCTGGCTCACAAGCCAGTCTTCTGTCTCCCTTCAGAGAGCATTGTCGTTACTGCCCAAAAGGCCTTTTTTCTTCCTCAAAGCTCCAATGGGGTAGTGGCAGTGGTTGCACAACTCTGGGAATATACTGAAAACTGCTGTTATTTTACACTTTAGAACAATAAAGTTTATAGTAAACGAATTATATCTCAATAAATCTGCTATAAAAAATGTTCAAACAAGGGGTCAACTCTGCTAAAAATGTTTTTCTGGCGAGAAATGTAAGCTTTGTGAAAACTAGACTTGCAGAAACAAGGAAAATCCTCTTTCCTAGAAGGATGGAGGGGGTTCTGTGTTTAATTCCAGGAAAGTACAGGTGTTGGAGAAACCACTTGCTGTTCCTGCTATAGCTGACCACCCACCTTTGCCACAAAGTAGTGCTGGGGAATCTGATGATTAGGATAAATGGGGGTGGAGTGGCAGGAATATCTCTCTGAGGACAAAAAGCAATTCCGAGCCCTGCTGGCTCCAGCTGTACTCACAGTTTCTCCCTACCCTCTGCCTACCTATCGGTTATAATTCCAGATACCTGAAGCCGGATGTGGACAAGAAATCCAAACATAAGACAGCAGTAAAGAAGAAGACCCTGAACCCAGAGTTCAATGAGGTACAAGGGGCTGGTGAAGCCACAGAAAAGCCACTTGTGCTCCTCTGGGACAGGGGGCCCAGAGGGACTGGGTTTTCAAGCATCACTGTGAGAGCTTCGAGGGTAAGAAGAAAGGATGGGGAGGGGCTGACAGGAGAGCCCTCAGCCATGGGGGCATGGACCAAGCTGAACCAGACTGAGGTGGTGCAGATGGAGGGAAGAAGATGGCTTGAAAAGATCTTCAGAGGATGAAACTGGCAGGATTGTGGCCATATTAGATGTGGAGCTGGAGGTTGGGGAACCCACCAGCAGGAGTGAGAGGTGTGAGGGAGATGGGGAAAGCTCTGGTGGGATGCGGTCAGGGTGACGAGTGAGAGCAGGGCGAGGAGACCAGGGGTCTCAGGCAGAGCTTGAGCAACAGAGGCAGACAGGAGGCTGACGAAATGCTTCCAGAGAGTGAGGGGAGTACCGGAAGCTGGTGGGAGAGAGGGTTCCACAAAGAAGGGAGTTACACAGCAGAGCCAGACCCAAGAGAGGTAAGCACACAAAGGCTGCCAAATGTGAGTCGATTTGGCAATAAGGAAGCTCTCAGAGATCTCAAGAGAGAGGCTTCAGTGACAAAGGAGCAGGTGGGTTGGAGTGAACGGGACCCTGAGGACTCCAATCAGGCAGATGTAGATGAGATGAGTGAGAATCCACCATTGTCCACCACCATGCACTGACCACCCTCCCATTCACCCATCCCTCCCTCAGTTCATGCCCTCACCATACCTCAGAGCCCTCCTGGCCATGTGGCATTGGCCTGACTCTCCCCTTCTGGCCACCAGGAGTTCTGTTATGAGATTAAGCATGGGGACCTGGCCAAGAAGACCCTGGAAGTCACTGTTTGGGATTACGACATTGGAAAATCTAACGATTTCATTGGTAAGAGGACATGATAAGAATGCCATTTGACCACATGCCTGTCCTGTCTTCAGTGAAGGGCAGTGGCCCTGAACCAAGACATAGCCCCTCCTTCCTGGCTTCTGGGGAAATCTGAGGCCATAGACCACCTGCCCCCACATATCCAACCTGACCCCTTGTGACAGAGGACGAGACAGGCCCAGAGAGGAAAGGAGGCCTGGAGGGTCACACAGCAGTTTGGGGGGAACAGGAGTAAGAGGTGGTGATAGCGCCTCAGACTGGACCCTGACCCCTTGTGGTCTGGAATTCCTGGTGGCCTTCGTGGCTGTGGACAGTAGAGCTACCCTGGGCCTTTCTTGCTCTTTTTTGCCCCCATCCCTTGGCCCCTAACATATGCAACTGCACTCTGCCCCCACACTGCTCTGGTCCTGGATAGAAGAAGGGCAGAATCCCCAGGCCCTGATCGGGGAGGTCAAGGATATGGCATGGCGGCGGTCAGGCCACCAACCACCTTCAGAGCCCAGCGGGCAGGGTGGAGAGTCTGGCCTTGGAGCATGGAATCTAGGAGGGGCAGGGGAGCACTGGCTCCAGAGGGATGGGTCTACGGGAGCACCTGCCCCCAGGTTCCTGACTGCCCCCTCAACTCCCCTCCTGCAGGTGGTGTGGTTCTAGGTATCAATGCCAAGGGCGAGCGTCTGAAGCACTGGTTTGACTGCCTGAAGAACAAGGACAAGCGGATAGAGCGCTGGCACACACTCACCAACGAACTCCCTGGGGCTGTGCTCAGCGACTGACTGGCCCCCACCTGCTGCCACACCTGCCCCTGTGTGTCACCTGGCCCAGCACTGGCCTGGCCCTGGGCTTCCTCAACTGCCACCAAGGGCCTCAGCCCCCACGTTGGGGGAGATCCAGGACACCTGCTCGAACACAGAACCACTGCAGCCCCCACTTGGAGGCCATGGAGGACCTAGCCACTCTGAGGGACAGCGAGGGCAGACAGCTGGGTCTACTTTCAGCCCCTGGGGCCCAAATGGGCCAGAGCTGGGAGGAGAGGAGCTTGGCCTCAGTACCCATCCTGGGGAAGGGAATGGGGCTATCCAAGGACAAGGAACCTACCAGAGGTCAGCAGTAAATCACAGGGGACCTCAGGCTGAGAGAACAGGAGTGCAGGGGCACCCTGGTGGGGCCAGTGAGAACTCCTGTTGGGGACGTTAGGAAGAAGCGTATAGTGGGGAGGAGACTATAAGCAGGACAGGATGCTGACTACATCCGTTCATCCCTGGCATTACTGGGCAGGTAAAAATGTTAACCTGAGAGCCAGGAGTCTGGTGAAGTTCTCAGAAGCTCCCAATGAACGTGGGCGACTGGCAAACAGTTCACTCAATAATTTCACAAGCCCTTAGGGAAGAATGAGATCCAGGCCTGCCCTCAGGGAGTTCCCCTGTCTAGTCAAAAAGCTGGAAACAAACCATTATGTGGGGATCAAGGAATGCCAAGGCTAGCCTGGTCGCCTGCAAGTGCTGTGGATTCTGCTGACTCTGCTAGGAGAGCAGGGAGGGCTTCTCAGAGCAGGTTATGCTTTAGCAAAACCTTGAAAGGTAGTAGAGTTTCTAGGCAGACAAAGGGGAAGGGCAGTGCAAGCAGTGGGAATGGTCTCAAAGGCCTGGAGCAGAGAGAACGGTGATTAAGCCAGGGACACTGAGGGACTCATGATTTCTCTGGGGGGCAGGGGCAATGGCACCCAGCCCTACTCCCTCCTCACCCTTGGCTGCCAGGCCAGCCTGGGCTCATAGCTGTTGGGGGAGAGATGGAAGTACCATGGTGAAACTGATGTTGGTGCAGGGTCAAGTTCAATTCTCAGATCCAGTTCTCCCACCTTTGATCTCTTTCCTCCTGAGGACCCTGGAAAATGAATACTGCCTCTCATTCTTCCCAGCTTAAGCATCAGGTCAGCTGTAGTCAAGAAGAGAAAAAGGGTCCTTTGTTTTATACTAAAAGAAGCAAAATGTCCTCCTGTCCTCCCCCTCCTCTTCCCTTCCCCTGCCTCCTACCTAGGCCCTTCTGGGTTTGGGACCCCAGGTGGTTGCCCATGCATCCTGGCCCTACTGTGACCACTGATGTCCCTCTCAGGAATACTGAGCAGCAGTCCAGGGCCTTGTTTCTGGGAAGCTAAGAGGGAGACACTCTGCCTGCTGGGCCTGTCTATACCCTGAGTCAGGGTCTCCAGGGAAAGGTTGAAGGGTTGGGGCCCAGGTCTGAAGCCCCAGACTTTTCCTGCCTTCCAGGGGGCTTTCAGGAATGCTGGATGAACAAATGCATAACCAAGGAATTTCTGTGTTCAACCCATTACTGGACTGATGGGAAATGGAGCCCAGAGAAGAAAAGCGACCTGCCCAAGGCTTTCCAGCCTTACCACAGCTGGGGCAGACCAGACTCCATGGCCCCTTCCCCACCCCCAGCCCAGGGCTCTGGACCACACTTCAGGGGAAGTAGGGTGCTGAGCTCACACACAAGAGGTCCTGCTAGCTGCCTGCCTGAGGCTCACCCCTGCCTGCTGCCTACCCACGCCGACACTAGCAGCAGGGTTCACATGGTCATCAGGGTTGGGCCTTCTGCTGCAAACACAAAGCACACCACCATCTGAGGCCTGGGGTGATGATTCAATCCCACCAAGTGCCCATCAGCCCTTTCCTAGTTTGCGGGGAACTTGGGACTCTAGCCCCCACACAGCACATGGCAACTTTTGCTGGTCATGGAGACTTGGTTTTCCCATCTTTAAGAAGGCTCTGTGTGTGTTAAGGGTTTTACATGCACTGTCTTAATAAATCTTCACAACCCTTGTGTCTGGTGAGCCCTGAGTACCCTCTAACTTTGCCTTTTTGGAGGGTCTCATTCAGAGATGAGCTCACACCCTCTCTGTGAAGACATGGAAATGCTGAATGGCAAAGCTAGAAGGGACTCTGTGAGTACACCTACTACAACTTCCTTAATAAATACATAGAGAAACTGAGATCCAGCTGGGACAAGATTTCCCAGAACTCCTGGCACCCAGTCCAGGGCCCTCTACTGCCCCAGGCTGTTCAAGTGTAGACTTGATCTTGAAAGACGGTCCCCTCTGACCACTGGGACAGTCAGGCTGGGAGGCAGGAATTCTGGACAGCCAGCTCAAGTGGAGGATGGGGCACAGGAGGGCCCCCAGGGAGTGACAGAACTTTCAGGAGAACCCTGGCACTGTTCTAGACCCCTTGCAGATTGTATCTCTGTAATAGAAAAAGCTCTTTGAGAAGCTGCAGTATCAGCTCTGCCTTTGACCCCAAACTGGCATCTTTCCTCTGGTCCATCCGACCTACAAAGATGGGAGATTTGATGCAAAAAAAAAAAAAAAAATGGCATTCCAAAGTCAGGTGTCAGTAACCGGGAGGGTCGCCCGCCATGCTCTGCATCCACCCTTCCTGGTCTCCGCCCCACCCACCGCCACCACTAGCCAATCCCCAACGGGCCCGTCTTCCAACCCTCAAGCGGTAACCTCCTGACCTCTAGTGGCGAGAGTGAGGAACTGCACCTCCCGGCCCGTGCATGTCCAGCCTTTGTTCCTTCTCAACCGAGAGAACCTCCCGATGCATGGACTCTGGCTGTCGTCGACGCAGACTCTCGTGCACTGCTTAACACCGTTTTGCTACCATGTGATGACTGCAGAAATCGTCCTTAAACTGCAGCCCCACACACAATTTTTGTACTTTCGTCTGACCTACCCGAAGGTGTCCTTTTTAAGTCTTATTTGTTAATATTTATAACGACATATAATCCAAAGTAAATGGAAACATTCATTGCGATCATATTGGCTTGGGAGACTCATTTTAATAGATTTGAATGAATGGGCAGGAAAGAACAAGTGAAACGGTAACTGGGCGTTATTCAGTACATTTTCTCATTTACTCTTCACCAAGAACCTATTTGAGATAGGTTCCCATGTTACAGATGAGGAAACTGAGGTTCACAGAGGTAAAAATATTTGTACAGAATCACATAGCTGGTAAGTGACAGAATCAGAATTCAACTCATGCCTCCCAAGACTTTACAAGAGGATCAGCATGCCATGCTATCAACCACCCACCTGTTCAACAAATAGCTGTGGCATATTAACTTTAACATCAGATGCTGGTCTAGGCACCCAGGACAGATTCATCAGTAAGACAGTCAATAAACAGTAAATATAATAATGATATATTAAAAGATGACAAGAAGAAGGGGGAGAAACAATGGGCATAAAGAAATCATATGGACTGGGAAGGTTAGGCTTAAATTGGGAGACCAGGTGGGTCTCCAGAGAAGATGACTTCTAGCTAAGATTTGTAGGGGGTGAGGGAAGGAGCTATGGGGCTACTTGAGGAAAAGTGTTTCACGTGGAAGGAACAACCAGTGCCCCTATAGGTGGGGGCAATCTTGGAGTGACTGAGGTCCATGTGGCTAGAGCAGGGTCAGGCAAGGGAAGAGTAGTAAATGAGGGCACAGGGGTACAGGAGACCAGATCAAGTAGGACTTTATAAATACTGGCTTTCAGTCTGAGTAAGATGAGATCTGACTTTGTTTTCTAACAGGCTACCTGGTAGAGAACAACAAGCTTGTGGTCTGGGGCATGTGATCAGGCTTTGTTTGGAGGTCCCTCTCGTGATGATATGCCAATGGGTCCAGGGTTCAAGGTCCAAATGGTACCCAGTATCCAGAACAGTGGCAGCTGGGTCCTAACCAGAGCCTGCTGAGACATGACTTAGGTCAAGGTTCTGGCCACCGGTCTCCCTTAGCAACCGCCTCTGTGCCGGCCTAATTTTCCAGGACTCCTGCCCACTCTCTGAACTACCTGATACCCTTCCAGTGCATTCCTTTTGTGCTTACGTTAACCAGAGTCAGATCTTGTTATTTTTGACAAAGAACACTGCCTGGTGCTATGACGCAATCTGATCATCTAGGTCTCAAGTGTCACCTCTTTGTGAGGCCTGCCCTGACAATCTCAGTCACTTTCATATCACTCTGCTTTCTTTTCTTCATGGCACTTATTAACAAAATCATCTTGTGTATTTGTTCATTCTTTTCTCCCCTCTATAACCTTCATGAAAATTGGGGCACATCTGTCTTATTTACTCCAGTAACCCCAGACTAAGGCTGAGTATAAAGTAGGCTTCTCATAAGCATTTGTTGAATGAATGGATGAAGCTGCTACCATGGACACTGTTTGAAAGGAGCCAAATCTATGTGTCTGGAGCATGTGATTATGATATGTTGAATCTAAGCTTAGATGAGTGTGCATAAGACTCTTAATAGCTCCAAATACTCCTGGGGTACAGATGAGAAAGGACCCCAGGTACCACACAGGGTTATCCTGAGTAAAGAAGGAAAGAGGATGGGGAGGTAGGTGGAGAAAGGAAGACTAGAAGAAGAAAGAAGCAGGAAGGCTGAGGGGAACTGAGGAGGAAGGAAGAAAAAAGATGGCAGGAATGGGCCTGGGAAGAGCTGCAAAGGCAGACAGGAGTCAGGAAGGCCAGCCATACTCCTCCACCGCATGCTCAGGGGGACGGGGGAAGCAGCAGTCCAGGATGGCCAAAAACGTGGTTTTCCATAGTGTCCACTTGCTGGGGAGACTGCTCTAGGTAGGGGCTGAAGAGAGGTCTAGAAACAAATCACACCAAGAGGGGCATGTAGCAATGGGGACAGAGAAAGCAGACTCATTGTCCAGTGAATCCAGTGTTGTAGTATTAATCTTGATCACTAAGATTCATTGGGACTGACTATTAAATGGATCATCTCCCAGCTAGGAAAACTGTACAAAACAAGTCTAAAAATGGGTGGAAGCTGAGGTAGAACACTAGTGGCAAGACTGACAGAAGGCTCAGAGTTCAGCCCTGAGGCTGTGAAAGGCCTGGGCTATGTGAGGCAGAAACAGGTGAGGGGAGAGATGTTGGGCACACATGGTTTCCAGGAGCCACACCATCCTCTGTGGACACTAAAACCTGGCTGGGACACTGCTTGCTCACAAGGACGCCCTGAAGCAGTCCCCAATTCCCCAGGGTGCTCCAGCACAAGCAGGGCCTACGGTGGGGCTGCCTCCTCCAGAGACTGTTCTCCCTCTAAATATTCTACCAGAATGAAAGCAACAAACCTATACGTCTGTACCCCAGGCCCTTTACACAGAGAGTGTAAAAAGAAAAAGGACCATTTGGGGGCAGGCAATTAGTTCCTTTGTTATTTCAGTAGCAAGGGTGTCCTTAAAGACTCTAAGAAAATAATAGACCAAAGAGAAGGTGCCAGAATTACAGTATTAGCAGCAATAACACCCACCTAGAGCTCTAAGACATGCAGACTATTCTAAGTGTACTCATTTAATCCTCGTAATTATGAGATACTGTTTTAATCTCTACTTTACAGAGAAAAAGACTGAGAAAGAGGAGCATGTTCAAGGATAATTAAGGGATAGAGCTGGGATTTGAACCCAGCCTTATGGCTCCAGAATCCATACTCTTTAATTGCTACACTATGCTGCTGGATGAAGCAGATAGTGTTGCCAGGCCTAGTAGAAGACTCCCAGGTCCCACCAGCTCCCAAGCTCTGCCAGGAAGGATTTCCCAGGCATCACCTTCAAGGTCCATGCTCTCAGTTTTGATCGAATGCAACACTCATGTTTGCCCAGTGGGTTCCCATCTGTCACAAGCTCCAATTCTTCTCTGTGTGTCCCCTGGCCTAGGCCAGGCAAGATCTCTTATCTAAAGATGTGGATCTGGGGAGCACTTGTGTGGCTTCCCAAGGGCCAAGTGTGAACCCATGTGAATTTACTGTGTTATGGGAATCAGAAAACAGAAATCGAGATCTCTTGGAGCCTCCTGGGTTCTCGTCTCTACTGCTCTGCACCCTCTTCCATCCTCCTGCCTCTCTTAGCACACTCACTTTCTCAGCTGATTCATCAGTACATAAATGATCCAAAATGTCTGCTCTTATAGGAGAACAATAAAACTCTGCTAATTTACCTATCTGGGCCATCTCAGGGACAATCTCCATTGATTGTCTCTTGAGTGTGGGTCACATTCTCCTGTTTCTTCTAATGAGTAGTTTTAGATTGTATCCAGATTACTATAAATGATGAGACTCTAGATTCTATTATGTTCCCTGAAGACAATTTCTATCAGGCAATTACTTGGTTGAAATCAAACTGCAAATTCTACCTCACCAGCAATGGGTGGTAGCTGAAATATGTCAGTTCAGTCAGCAAAGACATTTTTTAATGAGGAAATTTATTATTTGGGTATTTTTTATATGTTGGCTTTAATGTTTCAAAGGACATGGCATAATCTGGAGAACAATTCTATGAATTCCTCAGAGGATTCATTTCTCAATGTCAACACTGCTGAGAAAAGTTTCCGGCCATCAAAAAAAAAAAACCAAAATAAGAGTTCTCAACTCTTATTTCAGGTTTTGAGCTTAAATTAAGTCTTGAGCTTTCAACTTCTTCTAGAAAGATTTGCAGCACAAATGCTCTTATCCTCTCCTGACTTCCTCTGGATTAATTTATTTTTAGAATTCTACTTGTTTATTTATGGATTTTTAGCTATATCTCTCTGTATTATTTTTTATAATAGTGCTTGCCCCCTGTATTACCAAATATCCTTAATCTCTCAAAGTCTTCTTAGAGTTAATACTATATTACTTCAAGTAATGTTTAAGAAATTTGCAATCAAATGGATCCATTTACCATCCCAGGCTACTTCTTATGCTATAGTTACCATATATATGATGTGCCTACATATATTACTAATCCCACAATATATTTCTAATTTTTGCTTTAAACTTATAATATTTTTAAAGAAATCAGCAGAGAAATAAGTCTTTATATTTACCTACATATTTACCATTCAAGTGTTCTGCCATTCCTTCCTGAAGATTATAAGTGTCAACTGTTCTATCTTGTCCTTAGTGCCTGAGAAGAAAAACTTTTGGCGTTAACATTTCATTACCCCAGAACTTTCAGGCCTGAGCTCATGAACATGAATTAAAAAAAAATTTTTAAACAAATTTTTAGTAAATCAAATCCAAAAATATTTTAAAGAATACATAACTGAGGTTTATCTCAGGAATACAAGATTAGTTTCATATTCAAAAGATAATCAGTGTAATTCATTATATTAACAAACTAAAAATGAAAACCCATATGATCATCTCAATAGATGCAGAAAAGACATTTGACAAAGCCAACTTCCATTCCTGACAAAAACTCTCAGCAAACTAAAAATAGCAGTGACCTCTTCAACTTGACAAAGGGCATCTATGAAAAACTTACAGCCATCATACTTAATGGTAAAAGACAAAATGCTTTCTTCCACGAGAGCAGGAAAAGATACAAA